TGATCAAGACAAGACACCTACCAGTCTCTAGAGATCTTGACCTGGATAGTACCGAAGTATTGAGAGTTTGCAGCCTGATAAATGTTGAAGTTATGAGCATTAGTAGAGCAATCACCATCGCCGATAACTCATAGCTAAGCTAAGTGAATGAGATAAATGTATACCCAAGTGAATATTCTACGTAGTCAACAGTATTGAATTCCATGTTTTCGCGTTAAGGAGATGATGATTCAACCGCCACAATATGTCATCCACGTGACCATCTCCATATTAAGATTCAATTCGCGTGACGCTATTCACCTCGGTGGAGAGATATTGACAATTCTGTTGGAATGCTGTCGCTTTGATCTAATAAATAGATGTCTTTGAGAAGCTGCGGAGATCGTTTAAGCCGTGTGTGAATTGCTATGCCGAGACGATTTCTCAATTAATTTGTACTAGAACAATGAATAGAAAAAATGAGGACAATTGAGGTGGTGATATAGTCAAACGAAGCGCTATGTAGGAGGAAACGTAGAAGATAGTTAACGAGGACAACAAGAGGAACTGTGACTACTATGTGGCTAGAATTGAATGTTTTCGGTGGCGGTGGCGGTCCCATAATTGTTCGCATGAGATAAGCAATTTCTATAAAAGGAAATCGGCGGAAACATAAATTTCACGTCTCCAACATCATGCGGATTCCTTCCCACTTGCAATTCTATTACGATGGCGCAGCAATAGTCTTTGTTCGCAAATGCCTAGGCAGAGAGAGGCAACGGCCGTGGCAGAAATGACAAACCTACGAATATTAATATCAAGATATTTAATTTATCCTGTCCTCACTACTGAAGACCTCCCCCAGCAACATCGTTTGGTTACAAGATTTCATTCCTTCAAAAGGACACATGCGGAAAACAGACGACGTCTGGAATTAATGAACCAATACTTTCAATATGCATATACATGTATGTTAATTGCTTGATACAGTAACATCGAATAAGTCCCGCTTCACCGCACGCTATCCACACTAAGCCGCAAACGTACATACCAATGTGCTTATGGCATATGCGAATGGATGGGAGATTTAAGTAACATCAACAACATAGTGGCAAAATACGCTGCACGTATAGGACAGTACTTTTCGAGCACTCGCTCCGTGACTCATCTACCTGTTAACGATATTCAAACTATTGTGAGAGATGGATACAATTTCTCCGATGGTTGTGGCAAGATTTCACGAACACTGCCAACAAATTGCCGAAGTTCTTGATCTAAAAAGCACACCTTCTGCTGTTCAATTCCGTCTTGGCGGATACAAGGTGTTTTATGCACGTCTGCATACATCCGAGGAAAGCAAATCCAAGTGCGGCCGAGCCAATACAAGTTTTGATTCGCCACATACGGAGCTGGAAGTGATAAGGGTGTCGACATTTCTACCTGCATATTTGAACAGACAGGCTATTACGCTCTTAAAGTACCCGATTCAGTATTTGTGGATATGGAAAATGCGCAAGCAGAAGATCTCGATCGAATGCTAGAAAACGAACACAGTGCCATGCAGGTGCTGTTATGGTGTATTGATGAATGGGTGTTTCACGTCGATTAGCTGATATGGTCATAGCGGGTTTTATGCAACAACAGGACCCTTGGTTGGTCAATTTATTATCACCGTTTCATATATCATGTCTTCGTGATCTCAAAAACAAAGCAAAAATATTTGTCAACGATGGAGCCTTCTTTTTAGGAGGGTTGGACGAGACCAACACGGTTAACTCACATTCTTAAACAAACCACATTTTTACAACCCTGGTTCAGAATAAGATTACCTACAAAATGCAAGTAAAATCCAAGAGACATATGATGTCTCAGTTAAAATATTGCAACGATGGGCCACCTCCGGAAAGATGAAAAAAATAAAAAGAAATTCTTTGGTATTGAAAATGTAAATGAATTAAGTAATTTGCAGCGCCTTCATCAGTAATACAAGATGCCACTTGTCTGCCGGTTGCCATTGTCAAAACACCCGGAGGAAAAAGACTATTCAATTATAGATGTACACAAAGTCTTTGGAGATTACCCCAACCTACGAATAACTCGACAGCTCCCCAACCTATGAACAACTCGTCAGTTATCCAACCTACGAACTTAAGACCATATTGGAACGGAAAAGTCGCAGCATGGTCTCAGAAATTGTGGTTACCCATTGTGACCGACTCTACCGCAACCTCTTCCACTCCCCCCATACTACAAAACTCATGGTTTTCGTCAACGAAGCAACCTCCGACGAGCACAAAAATATACTTGCAATCAAGCAAGGAAGAAGAGTCGCCCGATGAGAACACCAAACAAGGAAAAAAGCGCAAGATCAGGACAACAGCAGCACGCAACAAACGACAACGCTGCCAATAAAAGTATATCCAAATCACCCTCAAAAGCAGCTATTGAAACAGTGGATGGGCTTGTCGAGATATGCCTATAATGCAGTTGTCCGCTGGAGTCGATATCGCCGCTTCTACACTAAAGATTCGCATATTGGTCCATCACGACGGATTTGGATAAAATCTCAACCCATTGAAGATAAGCTTAAGCTTTACACGGATGTTCGTGTAGGAAAAGACATTAATGAGCGTGAGGACAAGAAACAAACATTACGCATGATCATCACTATCATCACTATCATCACTTAAAACTTTCCATCACGCAACATGCACATCATATGATCACTCGTCTACTACGGGATATATATAAATTATCATGTATTTTTATTGTACCAGCGATGCTGGCTCTTCTAATAAAGAATTCAAATCTGAAGGTTATACATTAAATCGAGAATATTTTCATGTGTGATTTATATCGGAAAATAAAAAGTTTATGTGTTGATTTTTTTTCTTACGTATACTTTGCATAAATCACAATTAGCATCATTACCATGATTATGAAACCATGCGCTCACTCCGATTCCTACATGCAGTAGATATAATAGTGGGTCCGATTTGTAACCTGGTAATGAAGAAATTATGTATCATTGTTAGCATACATTCTTATTCCTGTCTTTCGCTCTGTTCTTTGCATGAGCGTATTCCAATCATCCCACAAAACCAACCTCATCGTGCACACTCAACATATCCGCAATACTAGTCTGTAAGGCTCGATCCCAATTTGTTTGGTGCTCGATAGTCCTGACAGGGTTATTATTCGTAAGATTATCCATCGACCAGCTGGACACAGCATTCGCCTCCAATGGACGATCAACTTGTCTTCCCACTCGAACGGGAGGAGTCTTGAGGGTCCAAATTTGAGAATTTGAAGGGTATGAGAGGGGAAAGGGATGATATGGACAAGGGGGTGTGCGAGGAGTAGACTCTGAAAAGTCGGTTGCGTCGTCAAAACTGTCTGACATTGCGTGGGTGTCCGGGGAAGCTTGATATTGATCCGGCTTTATTAATAGTCCTGCAATATTCTCGTTCGTAGAGCCTCGCAGCGCAGCAACCTTGATGACATATCATAGGTTGATCTAAACGATAATGTGATTTGTCCAAATTAGATATCACAATATATGCAAAATGTTAAAATTCAAGAAAGACTACGCATTTCGCAAATAAATGTGATACGAACCTGACAGTATCACGACTGTAACCTGAGTACTAGCTCATTTATCTCCATACCATCATCAATTTTTCCCGCTCCTGTATTACCCCACTGTCTAATTAGTCTCCATATCTCTTTGTGTAAGGGTAAGACGAAGCCTTCGTCATTATTGAGAATCGGAACGTTATTAGAGTACATTCCATAAGGCAGGTAAGATAAAGATGTTTCCGATTGACCAGAGATGGAAGAGTTTGTTGCGAAGGAGGCTAATCGTTCTCTGGTGATGGGTTAATTTTGCTGTTTCGATGAGTCACGCCTGAAATGGCCGAGCGGCGCGTTTGGATTTGTTCATGAGCCGGCTAGGGCCGATTGATGACTGACATTCGTAGAATATAACTGCGATCCCTTTCGAATCGTTTCCAAATGGCACTCGTTGGCTGCCACATGGATGAACCCATCTGATTGTAAAGTTAGAAGGAACTTCATATCGAATGTTTCATCCGTGCTGTTCAATCTTCCTCGTCTGTGATGGTGTATTAGAAAGCAGAGAAGATTCAATTTCGTACTGTCTCCTTAGTATTCGTGTTCAATCTCATGTAGCATGGACGTTTTGATCCAACTTGTCACGCTCTGCGGTTACGTCACGAAGTGTTGCTTAGTTGTCACATTAGCAATCCTGTAAGTTTGAAGTGCTTGAGAAGAAGCTGCTGAGGATAAAGGCGTTTCAATAGACTGCAGTTCTTGTGACGTACCCGAGAGCATATAGTGTCTTAAGTGGCCTATATACACAGCAGAATCGCAAAAAAGGTGAACAACAATATTATATGTAGAGACATGCGCGTTATCAATCAACAGACAATAAACTTATTATTACATACGTCCACCAGTAGCGGATACTAATCGGTTGGTAGCCTTGGAGAATTGTATCTTGGTAAACTTCTAATCTGTAAACTCAAATTTGTTAATTAGAACATCCAATGAATTCTTAGTTGTCAAGTAAATATTATATTACATCATCATCTGTCGCTGAGCCTTCATTTTCACTGAGTAAAAGGAAGTCTTACACTCTTCTTCAGTTTTTAGCTTTATAGATGCGTGATCATTTATTCGTAACAAATGCTCTCTGTAGAGGTTCGTACGTTAAGAATATGGAATGAATATCACTACTCGACTCGGTGAAATACATTACATGATGTCATTTATTGGGCTAGCGCGTGCTCGTTCCTTTCTTCTCTCGTCGATTTCAGTTTGCAATTCAGCAATCTCTGATTCCAAGGCTTTATTTGAGCTAATACGCGTGACCTTTTCTCTTGGTCTGGGAGGACATTGGCATATATCGAAGAACACGTAATAAAAAGAGACTAAATAGGCTGATTACATATTATCACGTGATGTATGAATTAGGTTAATTCAAATATTTGGTAACGCATTAAACGTCGGCGATTTATTTCATCCATTACAATAATAATAGTAACATAAAACTCGGCAGAACAGTGTTCTGAAATGCATAACAATTACACATGGTAGGTAGAGCAACAATGTAACGTACATTATTTCCTATTGTTACTTATCAGAATATATTTCTCCTTCAGATGCCAATTAGCATTTTATGTTAGAAATCGCACGCGTCGCAAATGAATTCGGACTGCTACTCCCGATTTAGTGAACGAATCGGCAGTTCTCTGGCTGGAAGTTACCGACGTAGCAGTGCAGGTGTTCTTTGGTTAGTAACAAGTCTATTACTTTACCTCTCTATCCGCTTAACCCGCAGCTGGATGTTACTTCAACCTACGTATCCAACTTTTTGTGTCTGTGAAAAACTGTTTGTGTGATGGGTAAGTGCTCGATAAACAAAAAGTTGTATTTTTACTTAAAATGCTACCACTAATACTAAGCAACACAACTGGTCACCACCATTCAGGTTGATGGGAGAGACATATCCGAACAGTTGTATAAATGGAAGATCGGCATATACACGTATGGTCCTCGATATATTATTTTTATACAAGAATAGTCGAGATGTTCAAACTTATTCGCGTCAAGGTTAGCATTGAGTATACTCTCGTTTTCGATACGCCATTTTCAGAGGAACGAAAGCTTGGATGTTTTGGGGAAGTTTTGTCAACCTTTCTTTTGAAGATGCGCCTCGGTTTGCAATTCAGGTAATTGCGGCGTCGTTAACGCGAAGGATGTTTAAGTTCAATACTGTTACTAACATTCTCACGTTATCAAATTAGAATCTGTACAGATACTTTGCCTTGATTGGCGGTTCAACAATTCATCTCATTGATAGAAGTTATCACAAACTCTATTCTAAAAACATTAGGGATTCTGGTCGGTCCATATGGCAGATTTTCAATTGTCACCTTTGATATAATCCGATCGTAAGTTTAGCATTATTATTATTAGCAAGTTACAGTAGAGACAATTATTGGTACCGTTACGACTTTGAACTACTTTATTTATTATTTATTAAACGTTAATATAAGAATGGATGCTATATTTTGATAGACAATAGTATACTAATAGACAAGCCGTGACGTATTCACTAGATTTCATATTGACAAAACAGGACCACATATTTTATATTTATACAGTCTAATCTGGTTATAGTTATAACGAACTTTGACTATAACAAACATCTGTTTATCTCCAATCAATCATTAAATAAGAGACCTTGGTTATAAGGAATTTCTGGTTATAAGGAAGATTTTTTCCAGTCCCGTAGAATTATGTTGTGCCATTTGTGATAATCTTGAAATGTTCTCAGAACGGGCCAAACTAAAATCCCAGAATGGGTATAACCAGATTAGACTATATTGTATTTATATATACTTAAGTGTTATATTTTATTTTTTATTTTAGTACATACAAGATAGATTTTACATTTACTTAAAGTTAACTTTACTTTGCTGCTCATCGGCGATATATTTTTTTGTCGGGGAAGTGGCGCTTATATAATGTAAAAAACTATCAATTTATTAACCAATTGTAATTTTTCTATAGTAATAGATAATTCGATGAAGACAATTAATCGTTATTAACATTTTGCCAATAAACAAAGATCAATTAGTAAATAAATATAATTTATTGTAAAAGAAAACCCTTTACAATCAAAAATAACATTTGTGTAAAAATGGCTATTGTTAGTACTAGTACAACTAGTAAATGCTAAATAATATTCTTGTGGATAAACTTGAATAGATAGTTTATCATAATCTTTAAAAGTATACGGTTAGTGTTTCTTTGTCGGCGCAATTTGCATTAGCCCGCTGATAATATCCAAGCCAGTTTGTATTTATCTTCCCAAGTCAGACTATCGAAATGGCAAGACAGATGGGGCCAGCCCTAATGGAGGGCTGCATTTTTACGATTGGCAAAAACTTCTCCCCTTATTCTCAACGCGACTGTATCCGTCGTTTGGCTGAATCGAATGATTTGTTTAAGCAATCTAATACTTTTTGGTGTTGCATTAGATTGCAATAAACTTCTCAAGTCATTTGCTTGGTTCAGCGTTGTCCGGCTCAAGTTCCAGAGATTTAGCAAGGCCTTTTAATGCTTTCTTATATTTATTATTATTATCCCTGAGATGGTTAGCCCCACTATTTCTCAGCTCAAGCGCGTCGTCCTGTGGAATAGTTGATTCCGTAGAAAGCGACGCGACTGCATTGTTGGGATTGATCATGAATGATCACCCAGCGCATCAGCATACCTGCTGAGATCGCAAAAAACTGCACCTCTCGTCCGTAGTGCAATTCCGTCGCTTAGCTGAATTCGTTTAAGCTTTTTGGTGTTGCATTAGATTGCAACAAACTTCTCCTTTTAGCCTCAAGTCATTTGCTCGAGTTGGTTCAGCATCAAAAGCATGCTGATGAAGCATGGCATAAGCATACTATTCTGAACGCTACAGCATTGTCCGGTTCAAGTTCCAGAGATTTACTAAGGCCTTTTAAT